GCTGGAGGACCAGGAGCTGGAGGACCAGGGGCTGGAGGACCAGAGCTGGGGGACCAGGAGCTGGGGGACCAGGGGCTGGAGGACCAGGAGCTGGGGGACCAGAGCTGGGGGACCAGGGGCTGGGGCATGAGGGGCTGGGGACCTAGGGATCGGAAAAACCAAGGTCTGGGAACTCAGGATCTGGAAGGCTCGGGGCGGGGGTGGGGTGGGGTGGGGGCTGAAGGAACTAGCTGAGGACTTGAGGCTGAGGACTCAGGCTGGGAACCCAGAGTCTGGGGGAACCAGGTTCTGGATCCTGTTTACCAGCAATGGCATCTCCTCCCAGAGCCCTAGGGTGGATCAGAGACCAACCGGTCCACTTTCTGGATCCCTAGGGTTCCTTGAGGGAACAGGGGAGCTGTTCCCAATCCCCTGGCCCGTGCTCACCTCTTCTGGCTGCGGTAACAGAAAAGCCCTCCGAATGGGTGACAGGTGGCCGGCCCTGCAGCAGGCAGCTCAGTGTTCCTTCCAGCCCAGCCCCTCATTCAGGGCCAAAGGAGGTTCCTGAGCCTTCCTCCAGGCCTGGGTAGAAACCCCGCCCAGGGTGGACCTGCTGACATCCTAGAACCAGTGTGGCTAGGCTTTAGAGGGAGGCAGGTCAAAGGTAGGGCTTCCTTTCAGGTGCCTGCCAGGATGCCAGCAGGAGGGGCGAGCTGAAGAAAGGAGCTGGGAGAGCCCAGGCACGCCTGCCTTCTCTGCAAAGCTGCAGGCTCCCAAGACTGTTTATTTGGGCTGTACTAGACCCTCGGCTGCCAACCTCATCCAGCAGTAGACAACTTTTGTTTTGTGTGTGTGTGTGTGTGTGTGTGTGTGTGTGTGTGTGTGTGTGTGTGGGAACGCGCGTTTATGTGTGCATGTGAGTGTGGAGAAGGCTGTCCACCCTGTTAAGAGGATTTTGAACTTACTTGGCCAGGGTCTTCTGTTTCTGCCATGCTGTGTGTTCCAAGCGAGGCACGTGAGAACTTTCCACGCTTCTCCTCTCTCTGCCTTGCTCTCACTGCGGGGGAGCTGGTATTGCAGATTCGTACCACACATCGAGCTTTTCATGTGTGTTTTGGGGATCAAAGCTCTAAGTGCTTTTACCTGCCGGCTGCCTTCCTCCGTTTCTATGCTAAGGATTGAGCTCAGGCCCTCACATTTCCTCACACCCCTACGCCTGGCGTTCACGTGAGTCTGGGATCAGCCTCTGGTCCTCAGGCTTGCCCAGGAAGCACTTATCAAATGACCTTTCTTGAGAGCCAACCGTATACAAGGGTTTGGGGTTCCCCCTCCCTTTTGGTGTGTGGGGGATTGAACCAGGGCCTCACGCACCCCACTTTTAGCCCCCATGGCTGACACTTTTTGGTTTTGAGACAGCGTCTCAACTATGTAGCCCTGGTTTGCCTGGAACTTGTTATGTAGCCCTGGCTGACCTCAGAAATCTACCTGTTTCTACCTGCACCACCAACCTTGGCCCTAATAGTAGGCACTCTTGGTTTTTGGAGACAGGGTTTCTCTGTGTAGCTTTGGAGCCTGTCCTGGAACTCACTCTGGAGACCAGGCTGGCCTCAAACTCACAGAGCTCCACCTGCCTCTGCCTCCCCGAGTGCTGGGATTAAAGGCGTGCACCACCACTGGCCAGCTCACAGGCACTCTTTCCACCGCACCCCACCCCCTGTGGGCACTCTTAATAGCTCTGTGTACCGAGGAGAAGCCAAAGTACAGAGAGGGAAGGTAATTTCCCCAGGGTCGCACAGCCACCTGAAGCCAGGCAGGCTGGGGCTTGGAAAATGCTATACAAAGTGCAACTCTTCTCAGCTCCACTTTGCTTCTGTTATTATTATAACTGGGTTATACCATCCAAGACCAACCGGCAAGAAGTGCCACCCCCCCCAGGGGTCTGGGCCTTTGTATTAGTGGAGGTTCTCTTAGAGTCACAGAACTCATGGAATATCTCTCTCTCTCTCTCTCTCTCTCTCTCTCT